GGACACGGGAGCGTCCCCACAGACACGGGGCGGGGGGGTGGGTGTTTGCCCATCCTTCCTCACGGGGTCTCCCGCGGAGTGACTAAATTGTGGGAAACGAACTGCTAGAAAGCGCTCGTTGCCCTCTGTGCAGCTGTAAGGTTAGGGTAAGTTACACTGGGGGGCAGGATTTGTCCTTTTTATTCTGCTGCTGGAGACCTTCCATGTTGATGCTTTGTGATTCAGGAAATAACGTGCTCTGTGGCTAAGAGCAGGATAGCTGCTTTTAAGTGTAAACGTCAGATATAAACGTGAAGTTTAATAGTAAGTAGGAGCGTAAAATTAGGTTGCTATTATGTGGCTAAGCGGAATTTTGCTTGACTAATTTCAGTGGTAGCAATGTGAATAAGCCATGCTATATATTGGAAGTACTCCAAATGCTATCTGGACTCAGGATCTCAGGGGAGAAACAGTCCTGGTACTGTTCAGCATTAAACTAAACTTGCTATTTTGCAAAACATGCTTTTTGAATTGTGTGATCACAAGTGTATAAATATATACAGACATACATATGTATATTTAAACAGGGCAAATCACACTAGAGGTTGTTCAGAAATAAATACTGATTTTTTTTTTTTGTGAGCCTTTCCTTATGTGTATTTAACAGAGGCCACCTTTAATGGGGTAGCAGTTGAAGTGAAGCAGGTTGCTCATTTGTGCTCAGTTCTCTGCTGCCAAAAAAGATAGTACTCACTTTATATGCATAGAACAAAAGAGTGGTTCTGTATATCAGTACCTGCATATTTTCAGTGCTGTCTTCTTAGGTAATGCTATTAGGATAGTCAAGAAGGATAAAGGAAGACCAGTAATTGTTACATACAAAAAAAAGACTATCAGGATAGTTTAGAAATTATAAAATAGCTGATCTGACAGGTAGAACTCTATTTACGTCTCCTAAGCATTCACTTGTCCTTGTTAGAATTTGGTGCCTGGGCTTTTCTGAAGAATTTGGCTGTTTTCATTACCCCGTTGAGAATACAAGATTTATTTTAAAAACTAAGCTGTCGTGGGCTGTTGTTAACTTCTGTGTTGCTTCACAAATGTTCCTGTCTTTTTAGTAAATATGTAATCTGCCTGTAAACTTGAGGTTATCAAAAGTTGATTTAAACAGTGATCCTGAATTAAATACTGCAATATAACTACATTTTGAGTTCCAGGTATCATTTCGATAATGTCAGATAATTAGTTTGAGTTCTTCCTTCGCACTTTCTACAGTATGTACTTTTATAGTGCCAAAAGTAGGTGCGTGATGTTGCATATCTTGCCGTCTAGAACTGCAATACGTATCACAGCAGGTCTGAGGTGGAAGACAGCAGGTGGAAGAACAGTTAGTCAAGGAGACAATTTAAATGTAAACTTAGAATCATCTTGTTTCTGCTTGTTCTGATGTGGCTATTAGTGTTAAAGGAGCTAGCCTGATTTATTTCATTGTGTGTGCCCATGCCCAGTTATTTTCCTGGGTTATTTTTGTTCATTTAATTAAAGTCACTTTTTGTTTTACAGTACATTCGTGCATAAATGTATAGTTATGCAGAGGAGAAAATCAGTATGTTTTCATAACGCTTTTCTATTCTATAGGTTGCTTTTGAAAGTCAGCTCTGGAAATATGTGCTGTTAGCCTGATAGTACGTGGTAGACCTCTGAAGAGTTTTTATTAGCAGTTATTGGAGTCTGCGCTTGTTACATTTTAATTTTAAATCAATTACAAAACTCCACTATGAGAGGAGGATCAGGCCATTTTGTGTGAGATTAATCCACAGAACATGGTACGATTGTAATTTTTAATACAGAGCATTTTATTAAAGCAGGCTGAGCAAAAGTGACTGGACCTGTTTCCACTGATCAAAGCAGGAGGATTGTCTTTGACTTGAATGGGGGAAAGATCAAACCTTATTATTGCTTATTAGTAATTCATTTTGTCGGAGCTCTGCTTCGTCTGTTGAGAGCAACAGAAGTGCCTCATGCACATCATTAATTAAAGGCTTGCAGTTCTTTCAATTGGTAAAGCTATCTGAGATCTGGAAAGGAGAAGAGAAAGGTATCTGTGAAGTTGGTAACTTTTCATTGTTTTCTTCTGTATATAAAAGCAGCTGCCGGGTGTATATTGGTTTTTATGGACCTAGCTGGTACTTGAGCTAAAGAAGTTCCGTGGAGTAACCCTTATTGTCAGTGTTTCCAGGGAAAGAATTGTTTTTTTTTTTTTTTTTTTCCAAAACTCATGTTGTGGATGGCTGATGCTGTATATGCTACATCTTGGAACAATTTTTTGGAGATATATTGCAGTCCCCTAGTTTTCCAATGGGAGCATTTAAAAAAGCAAACAAAAGTAGATGCTGTAATATGTTAAAGGAATTCTAGGTCTACTTCAAATCTATGACTGTACTGCAATATTTATAGCCTCAATGTATTCTGTTTTGTTTTGTGAGATACCTAAAATAGGTGCTGTTACAATTCTTTATGCTGATAGATAAGCAGCCACAGAATGTTGTTAAGTAATGGACATAAACTACTTGATCAGATTTTTCTAACTCCTTCACTGTAGCTGACTGCTAGGCTGTTAGAGCAGTATGGTTTTACCTCCCTTGCTATAAAGAGTGTCTGACATCATAAGTCTTCACAGTAATAAGAAGTACAATTCAGGAGGTGCTGTGATTTTGACTTCGCATTTCTTTGCTTTAAAATTTGCTGTGCTAGAGGTTAGACGTTAACTTTGTTTATATATATTTGTGTGTACATGTTTGTGGGTGCGATTGAAAAGATAGCAGTTGGAAATTTTGTTCTGTGCGTATTTACCTAACATTAACAGAGTTGCGTCTTACTGGTTTTTTTTTGTTAATAGCTTGATGAATTAACTAGCCAAGTTAAGAAAAGACACTTCTGAAGGTATACTTTTTTTTTTTTTTTTAGAAAATCACTTTTACTGATTTCTCTACCCTGACCAGTAGTCTCAGAAGAAAGCAAAAAGTAGATGAGAACATTAAGTGTATGCGTTCAGCAGCTGGATCTGATGATGAGTGCTCCAGAAAGGAGCTTTGCTCTAAGGCATAATCTCATAACTGTGAGATTTAGTGGATCTATGTGCTGAGGCCATCATAGTTATGGATGAGGTGCTAAAATACCTTAATAGCCTTTTTTTTCTTTTCCCTTCCTTGTCATTTATCTCCTTTTTTTAAGCAGAAACTACATTTTAGAAAACTATAATAGCTAAGCACAAAGATAATGTCACCCAGTAATTTGGAAGATGGAATGAGGTTAGCTTTGCAGTGGTAAGTGGGGACATATTTCCTCATAGTATGCATCTATTTTGTGTTTCTTAAAGGCAGGTAAGCAGTTAAGGAACCCTCCTGCGCTATAGGACACCTTCAGCTCTAAGAGGACATAAGTGCATGTATAATACCAGCTTTTGTCTCCCCAGATTCTCTCCAGTTCTAGTGTGTAGGCAAGATAGGCTAAAGCTCGATTGAAACTGGTCTTGGTAGTAGTAGGATGTTGTAGTTTTGATTGGCCTAAAAAGGTAAAGAAGCATCTGTTATCCTAGACAAGTACAATTTTTCTCCTCTCACTTTTGGGACCCTGATCCTGTAGATCTTCTCTTTCTGAGCTAAACCTTGCTCTAGGAAACAGCCTTTCCCATTTTCCCAAGCATGTCCTCTGTGATCCAGTCTCATCTGGAGAGGCATGTGAGTAAATGAAAACAGTGTTTGCTCCAGCAGTCGGTGTGCTTGTTTTACACAGAACAGGAGTTTAACACTCCTGCACTTTAGAGCTCTTTCCCAAGAGAGTAGTTGACTGAATCCTCCAAAAGAAGTGCTAACTAAACATGTTTCTGGCTGATCCAGCAATCTTCTGTTTCTGTCTGAGTCAAGTAACTAGATATTACTGCTTTCTTTACACTTGGCTTGTGTTTTCAAATTTCTCATTTCTCATCTTGGTACTATAGTTGCAATATAC